ATAATGATTATGATAATATATTATTAGAGAGTCTATAATGGTGATTCTTAAACCATGTGCATCAAAATGACCCAGAGGGCTTGTTAGAACAGAAAGAGTGGGGCTTGAGAGAGCCTCCGGGCCTTTTTAGGCCCACCTCTACAGGTTCTTATTCAGATGCCCTGAGATTTTGCATTTTTAGCAAGTTCCCAAAAGATGCTGAGAACTACTGGTCTATAATGTCATCAGCCAAAATTCAGTGCTGCCTAAGGAAATGCAGAATCTTGGCCAAATTATTACATTCTCCTTATAAATCTGGTGGGATTTGGAAGAGAGGGCAGAGGCCTATCATTGTGAATGCTCGGTGGCCTGGGCTAGTCGAGTCTGACCTTGCTCGGGGGTAGCATCTTGGGATGGATCCCAAAAGTGCTGTGTTGGCTATGGAGGAGATGCTACAGGCTCCCCCAGCAGTCTGAAAATTTAGGGGTGTGAAAGGCGGGGGATGGCATTGAGGACAGGTACTGCCCACGTGCTGGTTCTTGGCAGGGTCAAAGCTGAGACTTTTCTGGCCTAAGACCTAGATCTTTGGTTTCAAGCGAGAGTCATTCTGACATCATTCAATAAATATTTATTGAGCACCTGTTTTGTACCTGGCCTCCTGCTGGGCAGTGCTAAGGACGGCCCTGGCCCTGTCTCATGGGTTCCTTATCTAAATAGGGAGGCAAGCTTATAAATAATAAATTAAATGTAGAATTATAAAAGGTGATAAGGGCTGTGAAGAAATCTCGGTGTCAATGAATTTAACAGCAGGGTGGGGATAGGAGAACTAGTGACCTAGAGGTGGTAAGGAAAATCGCCTTCATTTTGAGGGCCAGCAGACGCTGGGCCTGGGGATACGACGAGGATGGGCACACATGCTCCCCACTCTTTAGTGGTCTCATCTATAGGAGGAGACAGGTATGAATCACGGTACTGCGAGGCCTTGTGAAATCCTAATCAGTTCCATTAAAAGTATATACAGGCCGGGTGCGGTGGCTCACACCTGTAATCCTAGCACTCTGGGAGGCCAAGGCTGGAGGATCACTCAAGGTCGGAGTTGGAAACCAGCCTGAGCAAGAGCTGAGACCCGTCTCTACTATAATACAAGGAAATTATGGCAACTAAAATATATAGAAATTGCCAGCATGGTGGCGCATGCCTGTAGTCCCAGCTACTCGGAGGCTGAGGCAGCAGGATCGCTTGAGCCCAGGAGTTTGAGGTTGCTGTGAGCTAGGCTGACACTATGGCACTCTAGCCCGGGCAACAGAGTGAGACTCTGTTAAAAAAAAAAAAAAAAAAAAAAAATTATATAATATCCATAATCATATATACTACTACTACCCCTATACCTACCTAATATATAGTATATATATTATTATAAGTACACACACATTAACAAAAAGGGACCTAACTTCAAAGACTGGGAGTTAGGGGGCCTGGGAACTATTTTGGGTAAAGTGTCAGGGTAGGTCCGTCTAGGGACATGATATTGACCTGGACCTGAAGAGGAGGAGGGAGAGGCCATGCAAAGGAACTGGGGGTGAAGAGGCATTAGGCAGAGACCAGATTTGTGCAAAAGGCCCTGAGGCAGCACATGCATAGCGTTTGCTGTCCCAATCCCGCTATCTGCTCTCCACGGTGATCCTCCGGCCTGTCCCCGAGTGGTGGCAAGTCGTGGGCAGAGAGTTGGGAAGCTGTTATTTGAACAGAGCATCATGAAATAATGAAACGGAAGTCCCAACCACTTCCTGGCTGAAAGAGGACTCTTAGATAAGTATAAATTAGCTTAAGCTTTGGAGTTGTGGTGGTCGATTCTGTGCTAAGCAGTTTTACTGTGTCATCGCTGAAATCCCTCCAATGTTAGCCCCTGAGGTAGGAGCCAGACCTCATTATAAGAAGAGCTCAGAAGGTTAAGTGAGCTTGGCCCAAGGCCACACGCGCAGTGAAGATAGTTGGGACCAAACCAACTTTGTGTGGAGCTCCTACACCCCCCCCATGCCTTAAACCATGCCTTCCAACATTCGCCCATGTCACATATAAAAAGCCGAAGAATCTCGGGGACACAGAAAATACAAGACTTGCATTCCCGGGAAGATTACGCGCAGGGTGAAGGCTTTCCCAGACATGTTTTTCAGGGCTTGGCAGAACACCTGCTTTGCCTTGCGAAGGGACGTCTATTCACCCGTGGATTGTCCAAAGCCGAGCCCTCGTCCTCCAACTGGCCACAACAGGCTCCATTATTTGTGCTTCTCCTCTGATTCATTTTTA